TTCCCTTATTTTCTTATAATAAATATACATGTGCAGATGACAGAGGTGTTAAAAGATTAAAAATGTATACGAAATTCAGTTTAATTTTGGAATAAAAGAATTCGATTTGAAAGTTTCAAATTTTAGACAATGAAATATAGATTTACATGACTTGTTTTGTACCTTTAGTGTCAACTTGATTGTAAATGTGGAAAATGGGTGGAAAGAAAATGTTTTACAGGAATTTAAATTGCCTGAGAATTGTCTTGCTGAGAATTGTAATTAATTATGTTTGATTGATATAATTTTCCACTTGAAAAATGTTGAAAGCTTGGTATCCGTTTGGTTTTATTTTTTATGAAAATTGATCATGAAAATGATAATTTTTTCTACCATTGAGTCTAGAATTTGTTCCAATTGCCATTTTTTTTAAAAAAAAAAAATTATCATATTGAATACCATTCGTTTGGATTTGTTTTGCATGAAAATTGTCCATTAAATAAATTTTTTTTTTTTTTACCATTATTAATAGATTTTTTTCAATTGCCAAAAAATAAAAAAAGATGAAAAATCATTTTCCCACCAAAATTGTGGGAAAACCAATTCATTGATTTCAAGGAAAAAGTGGGTGAGAGAAAAAAAATTTATAAGGAAAATTCTTGCAATCAAACAATGCAAAAGATGGAAAATGGAAAATTTTTTCCTAGTTCCATATAAAATCATCCTTATCAAACAGGGCCTAAAATTAAAATTTTTTATTTTTCAATCTCTACTAAACTCATCCATAAAATATAACAATTATTTGGGGAAAAAAATAAAATTTTTACCAAGACAAATGTTGCTTCAAAAATCATATTTTGATAAATTGGAATTAAAGGCAGTTAATTCCATACATTTTGAGTAGATTGATGGCGAAAATTCCATACATTCTTTGCAGATATGGGTGCAATTGGATGTTCAAATTGCAAGGATATTCTTTTTTTTTTTTTAATACTTATTCCTTCCAAAAGCAGCCAAAAAACTTCATGAAGAATACTTGTGATTAATAAATTAATTAAAAAGCTTATTGTAACATTGGACAAGAAACTCATCTTAATAAAAAGGGAAAAAATTGATTAATTGAATGAATTTTTACTCGCTTTATGTTGTATTTGGCTTCTATAGGCTAAATCTACAGTTTGAAGACAAACGAAGCAAAATGGAGTGATTTGAAGTATTAATTGGACAAAAGAGTTATGCTAGTGGTACATAATTTATCTTACTTAAGGGTGTCCACCATCTCACATGGGATGGACCCCGCATGATTAAAAAAAGAATTTTATTCATATGGGGCCTACCCCATGTAAGAGGGTGAACACCATTAGGTAAGACAAATTATGTACAAGTTGAATTTTCCTTGGACAAAAAGATGGCGTTGGACGAAAACTAGAAAGTATTGGGACTTGATTGGAAGAATAATTGGAACATTTTCCAATTTTTTTGGTCTAAATTGAACACTGGATGAGTTTGGAGACCAAAATAGATGAAACCAGAATTTTGGGAATCAACTTTGACAATTTGGGACCTAAATGGATGGAAGCATTCAACAGTCCGATTTTAGTAAGGAAATGTGATTTTTCAGGCTTGGGTTCGTAGTTAGGCATCGACTAAGGTTTTTGGGGGAGAAACCAAAAGAAGATCCAAGGAATTATTGAAGTCGAAGCTTCAAGATTTCTGTGTCATTGGAATTCAAGATAGAGATCGAAGAGATTCATTCCATCTTCTTGTTCTTAAAATAAATTGGTGACGTTTATGTGAACTTCTTCAAGTTTTGATTTTTCACCGTGTCTCTTGCTAGATTATTTGTTAGAACGAATGTAGCTAATTCACTTCTATTCATATTATCATTCATTATTTTGAATTTCTCTTTATTAAATTGAGTTAAATTTTCATTATTGATTAATTTTCACGTTTGTTAACGATTTGTAAGTTAATTCACTTCTATTCAGTATTTTCTTAAATGATTTCTACATTGTTCCTCATTGGTTCCATTATTATTAAATTGCTTATTTTAGTTGATAATTTGAAAAACATAAAATCAAACTAATTTCTTAGTTTTCTTTTGAGGGTTAGTTTTAATTAAAGTCTTATCAACAATAATTCCTCTTTGGATGATACTTTACTCACCATTTAATACTTGTATTATATTAGTCATTAGTGTTCTAAAATGCGCGCATATACTTTGCTTAGGATGCTTTTGAAATGCCCCACATACAAGGTATAAGAGTGTGATAATGCTGTCAACTTATTTTGTTGACTGCAGGCGTGCCTAAACATCAAAATGCACACGTCTTTGTGTTAAAAATTGTGTTTAGATTAGCATAACGAAATTCAACCCATTTTTATAATTTAAAAAAAAAAGCTAATTAAGCCCAACAAATATCAAATTAGCCTAAATCATCCAAGCCCATGAATTATATACAACAATCTATAGGGCTTTAACGTTTAGAAAAATCAAAACAATTTTTTTCATAGAGTTGTAAACTATCTATGCCATGATGGAGCCTCCTCCTCCTTCTTTCTTCCTATATAGTTACACTACCCAAGTCGATGTTCGTGTCTAAATCTAATTGTAGGAATTGATTACAAAGTAATTGTAGTATTTATGATTTTGAGCAATATTTTTTTTGTGACAATTTGAAAGATATGTATAAAGCTTAAGTAATGATAGTATTTATGATTTTGAGCAATATGTTTTTTATAAAAAAAATAAAAAATTGAAGAATATGTATAAATTTCAAAGAATGCATTATATTATTTATTTATTAGTTTAGAATATTAAAATTTGATAATTATGCATATGCTTCACATAGACATGCACATGGTTGTAATACTTGATACTCGATCGAAATATATTGTCACACATTACGCATTTTAAAACATTGCTTGTATATGACACAATCCACTTGTGGAATAATTCCACGACAATAAGTTAATACTTTGAACAACATAATTCTTTGAATATGCATATTGGTGAAAATTTCAACCTAAAACTAGTTGAAGAATTTAGTAATAAATTATTTACATTAATTTTATATTATATATACATAATTTAAATTTTAACAAATGCAATCAATAAAATTTCATATTTGTAAATTCATAAACTAAAATAAGATGTTAAATGTAAAAAATTTCTTTATAGGATTCAAGTAAAATTTAGCCAAAAAATAATATACGCTTGTTCATAAAAATACTATACATCCTCAAAATTTATTAAATAATAATAGGAAAATGTTGTATACCCTCAAAATTTATTAACGACCACGTTATCGAATATAATTTTACATTATAATATCCCTTTAGGTAATTTTCTACAATCTAAAACAACATTATTACAAAGATTTCATGGCTGTGATCTATATCTATTCTCTTTTCATATTTTTTTTCTTGCACAAGACTACTACTTGATTATTACAACATTGAATTGTTCATTTTGTTTGTTTTGCTACCCAAAAAAATGGCACTAAAAACTGTCTTTTTTCAAACCTAACAACCAATGAACCTAGCTCAAATTCTAATTAATTCCTAATTTAAATTGACCCCATCAATAAATTAAAAAATAGTTTCCTTTTCTCTTAGTTGGTGTTACTAACATGTGAATTCATTATTGTTTTTCTTTTTGTAAATTTAGCTATTTTATAATTTATAATGAAGATGTTTCCAATGGTAGAAAATTTTATATTTTCTTGACAAGGGCATTTTAGTTACACCAACCTAACTTTAAAATTGGCAAAAGGTGAATGTGATACTAAAAACTGTGAAGGCTGTGATGCCAGTCCAACATAACCAACTTAAGTTGCCCAGTGAAACCCGAGGCCCAATACTCGGTCCAGTGAGGACGTATTGGAGATTGCGACTTTGGTTGTTTTTTACCTTATATTGAAAGTGCAAAGTTTCTCTGGACCGTTGGATTATTAGTTGTCAATCTTGATTTATGCCTGAGTGGTAATATGAAAAGTTGATTTTTACTGTATACTTTTCTGGCTTCTGTTCTTCGAGAGTTCTCTAGAGTCTTATGTGTTCTCTCTTTTATCTTCTCATTCCGATCTTTGAGTTACTCTTTAATCTGGTATAAGAGTGGTATTTCTTTGTGAAATCTGTTGAAAGAGTGGATCGTGTATTTGGTAACGGTGAGCTCTTGTGGTCCATAGAAGAAACTACACGTTTCCTTTGATCGTGAGGGTTCTTGGGTGAATGTGGGCTTTACGGTATTGATATAGAAGGGTACAATATTCTGAGCCTTCGATCGATGATACTTTGGTGTCCAGTGGTTCTGATGTGAAATTTGTAATAGGTTGTATAGATCTGTAATATTTTGTATCTTGGTTTGTATAACAAAAACTAAAACTGAAAGAGGTTAATGTGACTTTTAAACGTGAGTGTGTGTCTGATACTGTCATAAAACTCAAGACGATGTCTCTGATATTCTCTATATTACTGCTAAGGAAAAGCCGTTCCTGGAGATTGTCTATTGACATCTGTGTCTATATTTCGCGGACAGAAAATTGCTCCTGTGGCAGTATTATTCCATTTGGCAATATCAGTAGTCCATTGACAAGAATAAACAATCCATTTAGGAGAGTCTAACGTACTGACTATAGTTCCAACTTATCCAATATTTACCATATGAAGGTTGGTTGTTCAGGTCTAGCTATACCTACCATCTTTTTTTTCGGGTCAATATCAGCAATGAGGATTATGCAGTTCATCCATCGAAAAACCTAATTCCGCAATATAGAGCTATGGTAAAAGCAAACCCAAACGAAGTGGAACAAAAATTGTGTTACTTTCTTTTCATTGTATTGTATTGTATGGTATTGTATTGTATGTGTTGTATTGAAATTACAGAGTTTCTTCCTTTATTTCTGTATAAAATGTTGGCAGGTAGCAACTGATATATAAAAGTACATAAAATGAACAAGCAAAGAGGGAAAAACCGGCACTTTCGGAAATTTGACCTTCTTCAACAAGCCATTTTAGATTCAACTTCTTGGTGTATTCCAAATTCTTCTTTGTTCTTCAAAGCTTCCAACAATGGCAGATTGTTTTTCGTCCCTGAGTCGATTCGCGAAAATATCGTAATAAGCATCTTGATCGACATTTTCCAATACTTTTACTGAATTTCCTTGATCTTGATCAATAGTTATCTGCCCATCTTCAGATTCAATACCTGTTGCCAACACACTTACAGGCCTAGTTACATATGTTGTCTTCAGAGTGAACTGGTCACCTGCCATTATTACCGCACCAAGGATCTCACCCAAGAACTTGTCCTGCATAAAAATGAGGGCAATCTTGAGGGGATGTTAAAGATACAGTCCTTCGTGGAAATGGTACACAAGGCTAAATAGGGAGTCAAATTCCATCTTGGTATAGTCGCTATAGGATCGACCATGATTCTATCGAGCTTAGGACCATAGCCTGGTTCAAGTTGAGAAGGTCTAAGCTTGTTCTAGGTAGTTCTAACAAAATTTTATATAGATCACTGAACTTCATTTTGTTACATGTTCGCCTAACTTAAACTTAGTCCCAAGTAACTCAGTGTAAATAAGCAATCCATGGCCTTTCATTTGACTAGTGGAAAGCTCGTGATGTGACAGTCTAGTTGACCAATAAGTCGATAGTCTCATCAACTTTCCATTTGTCAAACTAGTGGACATGGGCAGCATGATCAAATTGTAACAAAGTTTAAGTCAAGTGACCAACTTGAAACAAAATGAAATTTAGTGAGAGGCAAAGCGCGAAATGAAAAGACGAGAATCCTAGCAATTTCCGACATCATATCCATAGTGCATTCATTTTAGTTAGCAATTCACACTCCGATTTCTGATTTTCTGTGATTATTACTCTTTTTGTAATTTTAGATAAAAATACAGACATTCTCTATTCTTCTGTGTTTCTATCTTGTAATCATTTAGTTATACTTTTTAACGACCAGAAATGATATCAGATTTTGCATACCGTATGTTGATATCTAGGATGCGTTTGTTTCAACCGTTGCAATCTTGAAATCAAACGCCTGGCAAACAATGCTTCAGGCGTCGTCTTTGTCAAGTCAAGCCTTTCAAGAACTTTTTGAAACCTGCTAACTTTTTGTTGGATACTAAGAGGGATGAGTGTGATGTTAAGACCCGAATCAAAAACCATTTTTGCAGCCAAAGGATCAAGAAACATGTTGAGTTCTGCATATTCATTTGAAGGAATGTTAATGACATTTCCTTTGTCACTTTTGTCATTGTTGATATGGCCCCCGACTATAAGTATATCCTGCATGTAATGAAAAATCTCTGTTATATTTTCATCAAGAAGTCCCTTACTTTCAAATAATGAATGGAAGTGTGATCGTTGGCTGATTAATTAGCTTGATTCGAGGCATTAGCAAAAAAACTGCCTATCTATTACCAAAAAACAAAAAAAAAAAAACATGGATGGTATTAAGAAAGAAAACGAAGTCAAAATTTTGTCCGTTGTAATATCCAGTCTAATTGTAATAGTGCATACTCAACAAGCTCTAATGGTCTTGAATTAGTAGATACATTGCTCTCCTATGTGACAACCAAACAGGAAAAAAGAATCGAAGTGTTAAGGTGTACCAAGTAGTAAAGGAATTGATGCAGAAGTCTAAGTTTGCACGGTATTCTTCGAAATTATCAGAAAAGAACAGGCAAAACTTGGGATTGCTAGAAAGATGCTAGATACTCAAGGAGACTATAAAGCCTTCGGAAATTGGAAATAAGTCATGTGAGCAATTAGGGCATATTTGGGACGCAGTAATGGATGACTGTATAAGATAACAAAAAAGATCTTAATTTCTTCTTTGACTAAAAGACTATGCAAAGGAAATCACCTGGATTAGAGAGCTAAAATTCTTGTTTGCATCAAGAATCTTTGCTATATTAGTTAAAGGACCATTGGTTAAAACGGTTACTTTAGATCCTGGATCAAGCGATTTTACTACTGATTCCCATATCTCCATAGCCAGTGGTTGTCTGAGTTCAGGGTGATCTGTGTCTCTAGGAGCACCAAATTTCACTGATTTTTCTGCCGTATACCTGGGATAAAACACAGAATTAAGTCGTAGTGCATCTGACATCAAATGATGAAATTCTAGTTGACAAGCGATTTGAGCAAAATTCCCATTTTACAGAGTTCATGGTGACGTGTGGAAAAAAGGGAAAGAGGGATTGCTCTTTTAACACAAGAAAAAGACAAGCCGCTATGTTTGAATCGGTAGACATTCTCCTCTTCAGTAGTACTGATGGATATCTCACTCCTGCACTTGTCGAAATTTTGATTTTCTAGAAAACTTGGAAAATGAACTTAGTACCTTCGAGGGCTTCGGGGCAAATTATGAGCCAGCCCATATAGAGTATCAGAATCAAGAAAACCACCACTACCATGAGGGATAGCTTTAATGTACTTGCAGTCTCCAACACCAGAAGAAAGTGGATCAGATTGGTTGAGTGCAAACATGTCTCCTAGACCAACTGGTATATCATCGCGCCCCATCATATGCAGCAAATCATAGACGACATCTATTGTTGCCGCATTTGCCCATCCATTTGGACTTACTAGTACTGCCTGAATGAAAATCGCTATATATTACTAACATTTCATAAGCATTAAAAAATAACATATTTCGTCAAGTCTTTTTTGATAACATCCTGTAAAACTCTAGGTACCACCATTTGATGAAGTAGATTTTTATTTATTTAATATAGAGTCTTATAAATTCGACTAAAAGAGTTTAGTTACGTCTAGTCTAGTCTAGAAGACATTAAAAGGAAAGAAATATGTTTGTACTTATACCTGGAGATTAATTACTTCCACAGGTAATTTCAGGAGATATAAGAGAGCTAAAAAGTCTCCAGCACTCATATCCATGTCAAAAACAATATTCTTCCCGAGTTGCTTTCCCTGGAAATCTGGTTTGTAAAGAATTGCTTTGTAATGAAGAAATTGTGTAGTAAAATTGAACCTCCCACTTTGCTGAGGACGGTTTATGACCTTTAACAATGACGAAAATAAGGTATCAAATGCGTAATAAAATGTAAATATTATATGCTGAAATAATTCAGAAAATGAATTGCTAGGAAAAAATTCTGTAACTCACATCTAGAAAGCTTCTAAAAAATTCTCTCTTTAATGAGCTGCTATTGTCATTATTAGGCTTTGCTCTTACAGCAACAAGCACAGGCACTGCTTCTCGACCCACCACTTCTGTCGTATAGCCATCCTGATAAATATGCATTACGTTGGAGGAGAAGAAGTAAAACATGATATGTAAGAATATATCATTATAAGGAACAGCATTATACAAAAAATGAAAAAACAAAATCAATAGCTCTACTGTACTTCAGCTCTCACATTGAGGTGAAGCCTATAAATTTGTTTGTTTTCTTTCGCATGTTTTTTATTTCAATCTGTTTATTATTGATCTAGTAACTGAGATTAGGGATTTATCCATAACATATTATGCTGTGCTCACTTTATCGAGGAGAAGCAAGAAGAAGAAAAAAAAATATTTTTCTTTAGCTGCAAATAAGAGGCGTGTACTTACCTTGCATCTGCCCTTTCCATTCTTTACTAGGCAAAATGGATCTCGAATTCCTGTCTGAACATGGCCACTGTGAACTCCATTTCTCTTTAAGTTGAATTTAGGAATTTTCAACCCATCAAAGAATGGATTTGAGCCATCAGATATTTGATAAGGCTTATTTGAGGTAATGACAGTAATATTCATGTACTCCATCTCAGCAAATTCGTTTTCTCCATTTTGGATTTTTCCATTACGCATGATTGAAGTAGCTACGCCAGTTGTAAATGAATCCCACATAAAATAACTCTGTCGTACATGAGATTTCAATCGGTAAGTCTCATCTACTTTGTGTTTGAATGAACTCTGTTTACTCAACGCAATGTTTCAATCAGTTTACCGTGTAAAATTGATCATCAAACCAAGTATCACGAGTCATTTTCAAGGACATGAAGCAGTATTGTGCCTCATAAGTATGCTGATTCTTCTCGAATGCATTGAAAAATTCACTAGTAACTGGGATGGTGTTTGTGGCGTCCAATGGTATGAGCGTAACCGGGATGCCAGAATGAATCACCTGTTTCACAAGGAAATAATGACAGGTTTATGAATCATATATTGTACTACGTGCAAGGATGAACCACTCTAAATTTGAGCGTGTGCCTCGTGTGGTTAGATTTTATTTATTTTTATTATTATTATTGGGACATGGCTTCATGTCTGACTCTGACACGATATCCAATCTAAGAACTTAGGTACCTGATATGCAGCAAAAGGATCTCCAAAGATATTGAATTCTGCATAAGGATTGTAAGTGTAGGCAGTGAACAAATTGCCGGGGTTTCCACACTGCTGAACTTGGCATGCTGAGTTGGCCTTCCCAGGGCAGCAACCAGTAGGGTTTTTCGATCTCACACCACCACCCATGACATAAATGTGCTCAATATTTTTCTTCAAATGTGGATTATTCATAAGAAAAATTGCAAAATTTGTGTGTGCTCCAATGATAAGTACAGTGATTGGACCAACAGAAATTTTGTCTATCATTACTTGCTGAGCAGTGGGCTGCCTTAGAGGTGAGTACTTCCTCCTGCCCTGATTCCAGGTTTTAAGTTAAGAAATTGTAGGCAAAAGAGAGAATGAGAAACAGAGCTAGAAAAATGCATTTGTGACTTGTTTGGTAAGGTGAACTCAACAGTACTAGTATTAGACAATATTAATGAAAGTAAAGAAGTCTATTTATTCTGAAAGCCAAAAATACCCCATTCTAAAAGAAGAGTATAATACTTATCTTATAAAGATTACAATCTATTTTTCCTAACAATTGTATTGTCTAGTACTGCGTACCAAACATGCGTGAATTATTTATGTATCCATTTGCATTCCTTGGGAAATAGGAGTAAAAACTTCAGCAGAGTTACTCGGACTATCTCTATACTTCGAAGCCAACAGACATTTTCTATTAGAAATAATTGATATATAGGGTGCCATACCTGTGGAAGAAAGCTTTTTCGAAATCCATAGTTTGTATCAATATCTAATCTTCCTCCAGGACCTACTGGAATGGCTTGTCTGTACCTACAATATCCTGCTGTATCATTCCCCTGATAAAATGAGCCAAGTTATCAATATATTGAAAAGGCTATGATAAATATTACAATCTAATTTGCTTGTGTATTACTTCGCGTCCATAATATGAAGCCTAGTCATCCCCGTCTTGTAGACCTAGTATTATTTAAGCAAGCCGAAGTGATAATCTTTAAAAAAAAAATTTCCATCTTTTTATGACTGATTTACCTTTATAAATGTTGTATGCAACATGAAGGCAGAGAATAAGGAAAAACTCGTCTTTTTCTTTCTTGATTACCTTCCTCGAGTATATATATGATGAATTTGCTATATGAAGATTGTATATATGAAAAAGTCAGAGAAAAACCTGCTCAATTATAGGCAGATATCCACCAACATTCTGCATAATGGTACCATCTTCAAGTATTGCACCCTCTCCTCCTACTCCAACAGCAATGTCGTCACGTCCCATCATGTGAAGAACATCATAGACTTGATTTACAGCATGTCCAGCATCTGTCCATGCATTTGTGTTTATAGTAATTGCCTGCAGCAAGATGGTGATGATTTTACGACAAGAAACCAGGCCCTAGTTCGAAAGTTGGGTATTTCTTGCTCGTTATCATATAATCGCTTATTCTTAGACTTCCCATCTACTGGAAACAATTTTTGCTCCACTTGCCCTTATACCCCTCTCAGAGATTTTCAGTTATAGGTTCTATGAGAGCAGAGAACCCTGTTTGGTCAAATACGAAGCTCCTAAAAAAATTAAGGTTTTCTTGTCGGAAGCAATGGTGGGGTCACAAATAGTCAAACACTTACAAGAAGTAAAGTCCATTGTCTTCGACAATGTATTTCTTTTACTTAGCTCCGAGTTTGACGATCATTATTTTCACTTTTTTTTCTATATATTCATTTTTAACTAAAAATTGTACAATAAAATATTATGTACGTAACCCAAAATTCCTTACTTTTTAACCACATATTCTTAAAAAAAAAAAAACTATTCAAAACTCTATTTTTCTCAAATAATGATTGTCAAATAGGGGCTTAGTATTTATAGACGGTGCCTTTTGAATATTACCTAAGACTCCTAATTATACTTGTAGCCGGAGCATTTTATTTAATACTACTTGTGCACGAGTAATATATAGTCATTTATACAAGAAAACATGCATTCGAGACTAATGCATTTGATATCTATTCATGGATTTCAATAGTATAACTGATTCATAATCATATTTCTCGATTCTATGTAGACAACTATTGTGTACCAATATTCTTGAATCTACTTCACAATTCAAATTCATGTTCACGAGTTTAGATTATGTTTTTAACACAGCTAATTAAACTTTTTTTCTACAACTCTGTTCTATCCATAGCTAGTTTTATTGAAAATAACCATTATTAGATGAATTATTCTAGTTGTACATCAAGAATTGTATATAAGGGTCTACACCCCCCTCACATGAGGGGTGGGACCCATTGAAATAATATTTTTTTATTCAAGCGGGTCCCACCCCCCATGTAAGAGGGGTGTAGACTCTTATGTATGGGGTGATGTACCCCTAGCAATGCTCTTATTAAATAGGATATGCCTAGGTTCACTAGCTAGACTTCGCGCCTCAATGTATAAATTCTTTCTAGTTCACTGAAGTTTTCACTAGGAATTAGCAAGAAAACAATAGATATATAGAATAATATGATAAACCATAGGGTCAAATGCACTGTGGGTCACCCAACTTCGAGTGGAGGTGCATATAGGTCACTCTTCTTCAATTTGGTATAATTAGATCACCTAACTCTGATTTATTTACAAGTCACTAATCTTCAATTTGGAGAAATCGGGTCAATCTAGTCATTCATTGTCATGTCAATTTAACTCATGTAATATAATGACTTGGATATTAAAAGTAACATATGAAAAACGTATAAACTTGAAGAATACTTTTACATGTCATTTATCCATTATTTTTGTACATTAGAGTCACCATATTTCATTAGTTGAACTGACAGTAAAGTACAGAGTGATCATATCTACAAGTAAATCAAAGTTGGGTGACTGGTTGCACTAAATTTAAATGATTGTCCAAATTTATAAGTAAATTGAAATTAGGTGATTTGATTGCACCAGATTGAAAATGATTAACATGAATGCACCTCCACTCAAAGTTGAATCACCCACTGTGCATTAACCCTAAACCTTGTCAGATAAATCCAGTAGGAATGAGCTCCATGCTCTCCAGCTCTACATGTGTGTGGCGAGCAAAAGTAGCTAACTCATACGCAAGTGCAGGGAAACTGGAAACTACACATTTCTCCTTTCAGTCGAGCCCTTTTAGCCCTGATAGTTGAACCCTTCAAGGAAAATTTTGTATGCTAGCTCTAATGAGTAGTAGAGGAAAGGCGGGATGCTTTTTAAAGGCAATGTGATCGAGGTCGATCGATTTCTTGATCAGAAAGAGCCGGGAATGTGACTGTTAAGATTTGAGGTTCCATCTTAAAAGATCGACCTTATTAAAATGAGTAATCAAATCCTTTATAAGTTGGTTTATGTTTACAGCTTTACTCGATGTGGGATTCTATTCCTCTAACATGTCCCCGCAAGATGGTGGCTCGTTTGAGCAGACCAATCTTGAAATCCGTATCTCACTTTTGGAATTGGATCGAATTGCTCGTTAGAGTTTAATAGGCTCTGATGCCATATTAAGAATTAGGGTTCCATTTTAAAAGGTCAACCTTATTAAGAGGAGTAACACAATCTTTTATAAGTTAATTTATGTTTATATCTTTATTCGATTTGGGATTCTATCCCTTTAACAGTGACAAAATTATTTATTTAAATTTTCTCTACGACATTGGTCATGTGCAGGAATAATTCAATTTTCTACAACTTTAAATATTAGTCAGGACAAGACTTGAAGGCAAAATTTTAATTTTTCTAATACACGTTAAACCATGCTTCTATAAGCACAGGAGACCCATGTTCTTTCAGATGATATCAGTCATATATTTAATTTTGTGTACTGTTCTTTGAAAATAGTTGAAAAATAAACTAAAAAGTAGCTAACTCATACGCAAGTGCAGAGAAACTGGAAACTACACATTTCTCCTTTCAGTCGAGCCCTTTTAGCCCTGATAGTTGAACCCTTCAAGGAAAATTTTGTATGCTAGCTCTAATAAGTAGTAGAGGAAAGGCGGGATGCTTTTTAAAGGCTATGTGATCGAGGTCGATCGATTTCTTGATCAGAAAAAGCGGGGAAAGTGACCGTTAAGATTTGAGGTTCCATCTTAAAAGATCAACCTTATTAAAATGAGTAATCAAATCCTTTATAAGTTGGTTTATGTTTACATCTTTACTCGATGTGGGATTCTATTCCTTTAACATGTCCCCACAAGATGGTGGCTCGTTTGAGCAGACCAATTTTGAAATCCGTATCTCACTTTTGGAATCTTAATCGGATCGAATTGCTCGTTAGAGTTTAATGGGCTCTGATACCATATTAAGAATTGGGGTTCCATCTTAAAAAGTTAACTTTATTAAGAGGAGTAACACAATCCTTTCTAAGTTAATTTATGTTTATATCTTTATTCGATTTGGGATTCTATCCCTTTAACAGTGACAAAATTATTTATTTAAATTTTGTCTACGACATTGGTCATGTGCAGGAATAATTCAATTTTCTACAACTTTAAATATTAGTCAGGACAAGACTTGAAGGCAAAGTTTTTAATTTTTCTAATACACGTTAAACCATGCTTCTATAAGCACAGGAGACCCATGTTCTTTCAGATGATATCAGTCATATATTTAATTTTGTGTACTGTTCTTTGAAAATAGTTGAAAAATAAACTAAAGAGTCATTTTTAGCCTACCAAAGCTGAAAAAACCCGATCTGAATATGACTTAAGCGACCTATTTAAAATGTGTCTTAACAAAACTAGAGGACTACAACCACTAGTTTATAAGTCCACAAAACAAAGTACACGTAAACATTTGCAACAATAGGGCATTGTGTAAAGATGTGAAATGTGTGTTTGATGGATATATTGAGGAAATAATGTATTTTAAATAGTGATATGATACGAAATGTGTGGTTAAAAAGCAAAAAAAAAAAAAATTATTAATGCAATGAAAAAAAAATTTATTGAAAAATATATGGTTGACAATAAATTTTGAAAGAATGTGTGTCGAATAGAGGCTAAAAGAAATTAATATTAAATATGGATGATAAATTGAGGGACATATATTTTAGGCAATTGAAATACATTTCACATAAAACGTGACGAAGTCAGCTGGAGAAAGTGATTCACACAGCCAACTCAAACAAATTACGGAACTGTAACTACATCTTTGATGACCTTGATGTTAAACAAAGAAATCGCAAACTAGACCTACAATGATAATAATAACTTGTTGGGCAGAGGTGAATTAGAAAGCACTGGACAATATTAAAAAAAATAAAAAGGTTAAAAATTGTTCTCGTCCAGTACTCTGATGACAGTGTTGGGTGATCTGAGTATTCTCAACCTCAAAAGCTAGTTCAAGAAGTGAGACTTTTCCCTACTCTTACATATTGACTACCAATCCCTTCCACAACCGTTTCCAAATTCCAATCGACATGGAATAACCTCAACAAGTATTGTATAGTATACGGTATACCAAACGCTTATCGTGACAACAAATTTTAACAAGCATTTATCATTGAAGATGTGTACCTGCAAATCAAATTCGGATCTATTGAGCTTCAAAAGGTACAGAAGAGCAAATAAATCGTCAGTATCCACATCTGTATCCAAAAGAATCCTTTGTGGGCGCCCCTTAACACAGAATATATCAGCTCCCATTGTTCCAATCATCACTATTCCTATACATACGTATAAATATCTCTGTATCGACATGTTTTTTGGATACTCCAAGAAAATCTTCTTCTTCTCTCTCTCTACAAACTGTAGTCTGTAATTATGAAGTGTCTGAAATCCGCTTTCTTGATAAGCTAAAACGCTTGAATAATCAGTTTTGAAAAGTCAATCCCGCGAAGAGAAACAACAGCCAAAAATAATTTTCCAACTTGACTTTTAATTACAGTGAATAGTAAATACGTGTACACACTAGGCTATATCTATGCATGCAATGTAACTGCCCTATCCATCTTAGTCCGTAAATTTTTAGGTAAGCATAAAATGACTCAATAAAGGTAATTGTACAGACACGGTTGACAACCATGTGTGGTCAAAATTTGAGCATTTGATGTAAAAAACGACTTTTAAAATGGATGAATGTGATACTGTCATGTAAGATGTTGTCAATAAAGATTGTACAAGTAGCATGATTCAAAATGAGTATATTTATTGAGAAGTAAAAGGTGAATGATGCGCATTACGAAAGAAAAGACAAGACGAAGAAAAATAAGGGCATGTTTGATACGTTGCTTTTTCTATGGAAAATGGAAAACTTTTGCCAATTCCAACTTTTTGTCTTGTTTGATAACCTTTTTTTTATTACCTGGAATTACTTTTCTTGTTTTTGCTCACGTGACCGGCTTTTCCTTGATTTTAAAGAATTCCAATTCCTTTGGTTTTGGTGGGAAACAATTTTCCATCTTTTTTTTTTTTTTGACAATAGAAATAAATTTTACCCCCAATTATAAAAGAAATTATCCCTTTAATTGATAATTTTCATGAAAAATAAAACCAAATGAACACAATTTTTTTAATTTATTTTTTATTTTTTGGCAATCTAAACAAATTATATCCCCTTAATTGACAATTTTCATGAAAAACAAAATCAAACGGACTAGATGGAAAATTATACTAATCAAACACACTTAATTAACAATTTTTTGGAAATAAGTTCTAGACAATTATTTTTTCTGGAATTCGTTTTCTTTCTACCCATTTTCCACAATTTCTATCAAACGGGCCCTAAGATCTATATATGGTTGAGAGAGAGAGAGAGAGAGAGAGAGAGAGAGATTTGGATAGTAGGAAAGTTAATGATAATACTGGGACTGCTAAGCCTATGTCTGTTCAGCGGTTCCAATAAGAATTGGTTGGATTGAACCGAGTACGAATGATCTTTGTTAGTTTTAAGTGGTTCTCTAACACTTAATGGACTAGTGCTATTTTCGACATTGGCATTAGTTGCAAATCCTTTGACCTGGCTGCTTAGGTGTCTTGTGCCTATTGGTAGCCTTGTTGTACTTGGATTGTGCTAGTTGAGGATTAATTGTAGCCCTTGATCTTGATCTATGTCTGGGGATTAATCTTGGATGAGATATTTTCTAGGGCTTGACTTATTTTGATAAAACCCGTCCCTTTTTCTAACTCTCTTCTTCTTCTCTCTTTTGGACCTACTCTCTGATTTTCCTCTCTGCCCGTTTTCTTCCTTTCAACTGGTTTTTTCCCTTAAGCCAATCCTTGAGCCTTTGTAGGGGAAATACCGGTGTATCACTTAGACATGAAATAGGGTTGAGTGTGGGTGTTTCTCTAATGCTTGGATAAGGATTGGGTGGTGAACTTTGGCTGATTTGGTAGACCATTTGGTCAATGACCCAAGCCAAATGTAAGGGGGTTTCTGGCCGATTTTTCCTCTTTCTCTGGATGGTGATTTGCTAAGCATGGAGGGGCTGTTCCTGAGCCTATTTTCAGTCGAAAATAGTCAACCATTGGAGAAGGAAAGAAGCACGGTGTCAGGGAAGTTTCTGTCCAGTTCATGCTCTACTTCTCAGTTGCTATAGATTCTATTATTGTTCAGTATTATACATGTTATTGTATGATGATTTCAGTTCTTAGGGTTTATGCATATTCTGTTAATGCCATTGATGTAGTCTGATTACCATATTGTTAATGCTGATTTCTGAGATTGATTATTGAATTGTTATTGATAGTTTGAGCTGTTAGAACTATGTCATTGGTTTAATGAGCCTAGAACTATATTATGTTGTACATTGTGTCCTATTAGAGTATGCATTGCTGAATTAATTCCCAACAATCTTGCATGGTCCCTTTGTTTCAGTTATGCGATAAGAAGTGTTAACTATTCATAATAAATATTTGTTCATGCTAAATCAAATAAATTTTAATTTAATGGCTGACACAATTGACAGAATATGAAAAATAATATTGGAACTGTTCTAAAACCAGGAATTAAATCATTTTTATCAACGAGTGAACAGAACCAGCTAGTCAATTCGATTCTAGTTGTGTTTCGAGTGGCTCAAGATAAATATGTTCACTTGATCTAGTTGAGAGAGAAAAAATCTTATACCCCCTAAATATAAAAATAATAACTGAAGAAAATTTATTTAAAAAGTAGTTAACCATACTTTAAGTTTAAAAGACATGGGTTCGTTTGATTGTAATTGTGTAAAATTGGTGGAAAGAAAATGTATTTCAGGGAAAATGTTCTGCCTAGAAATCATTTTGCTGGGAATGGTCAATGAAGTGTGTTTGATTGGTATAATTTTCCACCTGAAAAATATTGAAATTTTGGATTTTTTTGTGTTCATTTAGCGTTTTTTTTTTATGAAAATTGTCGATTAAAGGAATAAAATTTGTTACAATTGGGATAAAATTTGTTTCAATTGCTAAAAAAAAAAAAAACCTGAAATTGACAGAATTGAATGCCCTTCTAATACAAAAACAAAGGCCATCATATCCTCATCTCCTTCGTCTTCTCCATTTCGCCTAGGCTGCCATCTTCTCCCTTTCTCTTGGGCTCCCATCTTGTCCTAACCAGCAACAGCACCAGCGCCACCAGCAGAGGTAGCAACTGCTACTGCAACTTCAACATTCGTTACAAGGTCCTCAATGTTCGATTGGTGGAGCATATAGCAAAAAGGATTGGACAGTACAATTCGAGCTAAATTGACGAAGACCCATATATGTATGTTGTTTGCCATAATGAGGAGGAGGTAATGGTGGTGGTGAGCGATCATGATTCTGCACGTCGGCACCAAAATTTGGGCTGCAATGTACGTGGTTCGCTGCCAAGAAAGTGGTATGGAATTGAGCCTGATTGAAAACGTTTCTTGGTGATATGGGATCATGAAACTGCTCGCATTGATGAGTATTAGGGCCTGTAATTCAGTATGGTTGTCGGTGTTGGAGGGTTGGCCTGAATTGGTGTTGAAATCGTGCGTGAATGCTTGATTTTGAGTTCCAAATTTTGTCTGATTTTGGAGTTGTTATGTATAATTTTTAGTATGGAATTGAAGAGTGGGATGAGGACATGTTGACGGTGTGGAAATCCGGTGGTTTGTCTGGCGGCAGGGTGGATGAATTTGGAGTTGAAGGTGCCGGTGGAGTTGATGATTTTGGTTGCAATTCCTACTTACGAAGAAAATAAAAAACCTGATGAATCATAAGAAAACCAATTCTAGGATTCTGTGGAAAAGCTGGTCACGTGATGTGAAAATGGAAAATGTTTTGCCTGGAAAATATACTCTATCAAACAGCAAAAAAGTTGGAAAATTGTGAAAATTTTCCATCTTCCATGGAAAAGATTGCCTATCAAACATAGCCTAGCTCAACATTGTGAGGCTAAAATTTCCCACACGATGTGATACAAGTTTTAAGTACCCTTAATTCAGAAGGGCAACAAAACGATACTCTATCATATGTGAAGTGATATGGCACAGTTTTTCTCCAAAACGGCAAAGTAGATTTGTCAATTATTACAATTCTGTAAGTGGCAGAATGAAACCTGTATACTCAAAAGTAATGTTTTCAGTTAGTTTACTGTGTAAATTTGATCATCAAACCAAGAATCACAAGCCATTTTTTCAATGACTAGAAGCAGTATTGTGCCTCATGCTGATTCTTTCTCGAATGCCTCTGAGAAAACCATTAGTTATTGGGATGAAGTTTGTGGCGTCCTACGGTATAAGAGTAACCAGGATGCCAGATTGAATCACCTGTTGCACAAGGAAAAATGCAGATTTATGAATAATATATTGTACAATGAGAAAAGATGAGCCACTATAAATCTGAACGTGCGCTTTATGTGGTTATGTAGTATTTTTCTTATTATTGCTCTCATAATTGGAATATAAATTAAGCTTTACAAAACATGCTCTAAGAAGGGGTGGATAGTGTGAGCTGACGCTCATCCAACACCAAAGAAAAAGAGGAAATTTTACAGATATCCATTTTACCGAGAGAGATTGCAGATCAATTTTGAAATACAATGCTCAAATGTTAGGAATGATTCTTCATATCAATTTGAAGTATTCACGGCTTACTTTGTAATTCACCTTTCAATTTGCAAAACCACTAAATGATGAGGTCATAATAATGAGTTAAAATGGTCGCACGAAATGGATTTAATAATTCTAATTCGCGAAAATCATTTGTTGATTTATTTTCAGGCTATATTTCTAGATCGCCAAGGTAGGTTTCTGATATCGTTTTGGAGATCTCACGACCAACATGCGATGCATATTTCGAAATAAAAAACCATTAAACAATGGACTTAAAATAACTAATTAAAGATGTGTACTTAAAATGATTTTAATAATTCTATTCCGTTCCCCCCTAACCCAATGGCAATTGAAATATATTTATATTTGGCATCAGTTGAGATTGTCGATTTGAATAATTAAATATAAAAAATTTCAAGCCTCCTAGCTGCTTAATCCTGGATCCGTCCCGGTCTCTAAGTTTGACAAGGTGGCGCCGCACCATGCTGGAGGGTGGGTGGTGGAGATAGCCTCATAGCCTGGCATTTTTTTCTGTGAGAGAAAAGTTTGAGTGGGTTTAGGATTAGAGAGGTGGTGAGGGTAGCGAGGGGAGTTGGATGGTGGTAGAGTGGTGCTGCCATAAAATTTCAACATGAAAGTTGAAATTTAAACCTCACTAATTCGTTATATGAATCGTAAGTAGAGTATAACAAACAAATGAAAAATTGAATAAAATCGTGCACAAACAATTTGGCGTAAATCTACATGCTTGCGTCTAAAAATGGTAAAAGAAAAAATGATCAGTAAGGTCTCAGAACATGGAGAAGACTCGTTGCAAAATTTGCTTAATTTTATTTACAAGTAAACACATGCAGTCTTCTCTGTTAACTTAATTTTTTGATAGGATGACAAGAACAAGCAATTTCCGCATTACCAAAAATGTAATAATATTTTTCATTGTATCACTTGGATGTGTATGTATTTAAACTAGTCTGTTTGTTCCTTTATTTCCGTATAAAATGTTGGCAAGTAGCCAAGGATATATAAAGAATGAAAAATTTCATACAATGAACAAGGAAAGAGGAAAAAATCTCCCTCTTTGGAAATTTGACCTTCTTCCGTATTATAGGTCATTTTAGTTTCACCTTCGTGGTGTATTCCAAATTCTTCTCTGTTCTTCAAAGCTTCCAACAATGGCAGATTGCCTTTCGTCCCCGAGCTGATTTGCAAAAACATCGTAAAAAGAAAAAGGATTGACATCATCCAATACTTTCACTGAATTGCCATGATTTTGATCAATAATCATCTGTCCATCTTCAGAGTCGATACCGGTTGCCAAAACTCTGATAGGCCTACTTTCAAATGTTGTCTTCAGAGTGAAACGGTCACCTGCCAAGATTACTGCACCAAGAATTTCTCCCAAAAATGTGTCCTGCGTGAGAATGAACGCGAGTTTGAGACGATGTTTAAAGATACCTAAAATGGTCCAGAAGGCTAACATAAAAGTCGAAGAATTCTTGATATAGTCGCCATATGGTCAACCACAATAGTGCCGATCTCAGGACCACAGCCTGGTTCAAGATGGAAAGGTCTAAGCACGCGCAAGGCAGTGCATAATGAACAAATACGACAAACCAAATTGTTCACTGGATAACTTGAAACAAAATGAACTTTAATGCGCTAAAGATTCAGCGGCCACCGGTGTATTTAACCATATAATGAGGAGATATTTTCAATGATCTCAGACATAGTTTTCTGATTTTCTGAGAATTATTTTAAGATCATTCTCTGTCATATATAAACAGGAAAGTAACACAAATTCTCTATTCTTATCAAGTGTTTGTCTCGTGAATTATATTTAGCTTATAGTTTGTAATGATCAGAATTGATATCAAACTCCACATACCATATGTTGATATCTAGAATTTGTTATTTTCAACCGATGCAATCTTGACAGCAAACGCCAGGCAAATTTGCTTTCAGGTGTCTTCTTTGTCAAGTAAAGCCTTTCCAGAATTTTACCAAATCTGCTAACCTTTCGCTGGACGCTAAGAGGAATGAGTGTGATGTTGAGAGCCGAATCAAAAACCACTTTTGCCGCCAAAGGATCAAGAAACATGTTGAGTTCTGCATATTCATTTGAAGGAATGTTGATGACATTTCCTTTGTCACTTTCGTGGTTAATGATATGGCCCCCAACTACAAATATATCCTGCATAGAATGATGTCATGTTCCATCAAGAAGTCCCTAATTTCAAAATAGTGCATGAAAATCTGATCCTTGACTTATTAATAAGCTTGGTTAGAGGAGTCAGAAAAATGCTGCTGTTTGTTTCAAAAACAAAAGCCCATCTCGACCCCTCGACTCAGGTCACAGGATATTGGGGGGTAGAGAGAGCTGACTTGGAAGTTAAAGAAGGAGCGTTTGGTTTTACAGGGAGGTAGTAGTGAAAAATATAGACAAAATGGTTTTATTTTGAACACATTTCAGAAATCTTGGCTTTCTCTAGGTAAATGGATACTGAACAATATTAAGAAAGAAAAAGAAGTTAAAATTTTGTCCAAGTAATGTACACTGCTTACCATACATGGTGTAAGGACCTTGAATTAGGATACTACATTACTCTCTTATCTGACAAACACTCGACCAGATAAAGAAAGAAATAGTAAAATGTATCAAAGTTTGTATTCCACTGAGTACCATGCATGGTGTAAGGATCTTAAACTTCAGCACGATATACTCCAAAAATTATCAAAAAAGAGCAATCAGGACTTATTTTTCTAGAAATATACCGGACACTTAAGGTGACAACAAAGAACATTGGAAATGCACGATAAATTTTTAGGGCTCGTTTGTTGAGTAGTAACATGGCACAAGAAAACCAAAAAGATTAAAACTTTTTTTTCTCTTTAATCTTGTTCACTATTATTGAGTTTAGCATGCCAAACATGCCATTAGTGAAAACCTTAGAAAATGACAGAACGGAAACTAAATAACAATTAAAGTTGAGTCAGATAATGTACAAAGCTTCTTACCTGGATTGGAGAGCTCAAATTCTTGTCTGAAAGAAGAATTTTCGCTATATTAGTTAAAGGACCATTGGTTAAAATGGTAACTTTAGATCCTGCATCAAGTGATTTTACTACTGATCCCCATATCTCCAGAGCCAGAGGCTGTCTGAGTTCAGGGTGATCTGTGTCTCGAGGAGCACCAAATTTCACTGAATTTTCTGCTGTATATCTGGTATAAAACACTGAAGTAAGTCGTATTTTATGGATAGGTAATTGAAAATTTTGAACTTCTTAATCTCCGATTCAATTTTCTCTGTATGTACGAAGCAGAAAAACAATCCTCCAATATAGAATGACTTGGTGCAAGAAAGCAAATCCAAAGGAAGAACATTGGATAATGACAAGTGAAAAACTTGAAACAACCATCCTAAGATTTTTTGTATGCTTGGAATTTTGGCTCATACAAGTAAACAAAGGGCGTATTTGGCACACAACAGTAGACCGTTAGTTATAACAGGAAAAGAAAAAAAAGATATGTTACTTTTTTTTTTTTTTAATTGATGCTATCCTACGCTTGTCCACTCTAATATACCAAACATGGTGGAAGTGTTTATATATCAATCTATAAGAACAAACTGTTTTTGGCATTCCTAGCCGAGCTAACTATAAGATCAAATTTTATCTGTATGACATCCATGATGACCTGAATCTAGAGATCGTTAACGTGAAAATATATAAAGAAACAACTAGTCTGGTCCTTTCTTACCTCCGAGGGCTTCGAGGCAAATTACGAGCCAGACCATATAGATTATCAGAATCGAGAAAGCCACCACTACCATGAGTGATAGCTTTATGGTACTTGCAGTCTCCAACAGCAGGGGAAAGTTTATCAGATTGGTTGAGTGCGAACATATCTCCAAGACCAACTGGTATATCATCACGCCCCATCATATGCAGCAAATCATAGAGAACATCTATTGTTGCTGCATTTGCCCATCCATTTGGACTTACTAGTATCGCCTGAATAAAAATCATAATTTATACACTGATATTTCATATCAACAAATAACATAATTCGTTAGTTCTCCTGTATATAACAACATCCTGTAACACATGTACCATAATCTGATAAGACCTTAAAACAAGAGTGAAGTAAATTTTTTTCGGTTCAAATATAATGTAAATTTTATTATACAAGAATATGATGTCTAGTCTAGAAGACATAAAAGTAAATAAATACGTTGTACTTCACCTTGAGATTAATTATTTCCACAGGTAATTTGAGCAGATAAAAGAGAGATAAAAAGTCTCCTGCACTCATATCCATGTCAAAAACAATATTCTTCCCAAGTCGCTTGCCCCGGAAATCTGGTTTGTAGAAAATTTCTTCATAATGAAGAGATTGTGCAGTAAAATTGAATCTTCCACATTGTTCGGGTCGGTTTAAGACCTTTAACAACAATGAAGATAATTTACTGAGAGATTAGAAATATGTAATCACAAATAATATGAGCTGAAAATGATTCTGCAAATGAAGTGCTTGGAAAAATGTTCTGCAAATTTTGCTTTCGCATGAAGAAAACAGCTTTTAAATAAGAGAAAACTGACAAAATGATAGACGAACTCACATCAAGAAAGCTTTTAAAAAATTCTCTGTTTAATGAGCTGTTATTATGGCTATTAGGCTTCGCTCTTACAGCAACAAGCACATGCGCTGCTTCTGGACCAGAAATTTCTGTTGTATAGCCATCCTGATAATGTCCATTAAGTTGGTGACGAGATCGAAGATGATTAGGAACATGGTATATAGGAGTAGTAATCTAACATTTCAATGAACAACATTTTGCAGAAAAAGAAAAATGAAATGTGTCCTTACTTCTTCGTGTTAGATCATATTGAAACATGGACCAGCACCAATATAACGTTGAAGGATTTTTCCTCTACACCTAACCTAGATCTAATGAAGCATTCATGGTTAGTATCCCAGGTGTAGAGGAAATGTTCCAATCCATCACTGTTAAAAATACTGGATTCCCGAACACTAGAGTCGAAAGAAGATTTTTGTTGGTCTTGTCACAAACTCCACAATATTTGCTTTTAAGATGAAATTCTTAACGTTTATCCCTGGCCTTCTGGACATGAATCAATTCTATTGGTACAATATGTTAGATTATGTGGAGCCTAATCATAATGTCCACTTGTACATTCGACTGTGAATCGACGTGATATATGAGTTTATCGGGCATTTATACATGTATTAGGTCGCCCTAATATTCCTATTAAATGATTTACTGGGGGAAGTTTTTTGTGCTAAGAGAGATGTCAGCAAACACACTCTTTTCTAAATTATAGTGAAAATCTGCAGCCACAAGTAAAATCAACTCCCACATTGAGGGTGAATTATTATAATTTTTTGTGTTTCTTGTGCATGTATTTGATTTGGTTCTTTTCATTATTGACTCGTTATCAAGATTAAGGCTTAATCTATAACGAAATAGGCAATGTTAACATTCCTTTGGAGCAGAAGGAGTATTTTGCTTCAGCTTCAATGAGAAGCATATACTTACCATGCATCTGCCCTTTCCATTCTTTACTAGGCAAAATGGATCTCGAATTCCAGTCTGAACATGACCACTATGAACTCCATTTCTCTTTAAGTTGAATTTAGGAACTTTCAGGCCATCAAAGAATGGATTTGAACCATCAGATATTTGATAAGGCTTATTTGAGGTAATAACTGTGATGTTCATATACTCCACCTTAGCAAATTCGTTCTCTCCATTTTGGTTTTGTCTGTTACGCATTATTGAAGTAGCTACACCTGATGTAAATGAATCCCACATAAAATAACTCTGCACTACATAAGATTTCAATCAGTAATTCTCCATCTACTTAATGTTTGAATGAAATCTTTTATTCAAGTCGACGTTGTCAATTATTTTACCTTGTAAAAATTATCACCAACCCAAGTATCACGAACCATTTTCAAAGACTTGAAGCAGTATTGTGCCTCATAAGTATGCTGATTCTTCTCTAAGGCTTCGAAAAAATCACGAGTTATTGGGATGGTGTTTGTGGCATCCAAGGGAACAAGAGTAACTGGGATTCCAGAATGAATCACCTGTTGCATAAGAAAGCAATGACACATTTATTTAATCTTTAAAGAACCAATATAGATTAATGAACTCCGTGTATATTTTTGACAGGGCATTTTTTTCCCTCTAATTGAAGGCGAACCACAGTAAAGTTTTCCATGTTCTGATTTTAATTTTCACATTGATATCGTAATTGGGATCAGGGCTTAATTGCTAACAGGATATCCAGTCAAACTACTGAGGTACCTGATATGCAGCAAAGGGATCTCCATAAATATTGAATTCTGCATAAGGATTGCTAGTGTAAGCGGTGAACAGATTGCCATGGTCTCCACATTGCCGACTTTGGCTTGCTGAGAGGGCCTTGCAACCAGTTGGGTTTTTCGATCTCACACCACCACCCATGACATAAATGTGCTTAATGTTTTTCTTTAAATTTGGATTATTCATAAGAAATATAGCAAAATTTGTATGTGCTCCAATGATAAGTACAGTGATTGGACCAGCAGAAATTTTCTCTATCATTACTTCCTGTGCAGTGGGCTGCCTTAGAGGTGAATACTTCCTTCTGCCCTGATTCCAAATTCCAAATTAAGAAACTCTTGACAGAAAAAGAGAATGGAAAACAGGTATAGAAAAATGCTCCGTTGGCTTGTTTAGTAAGGTTCCCTTTATAGTACTGGACGGTTTTGTACTATCCAGGACTTCGTACAAAACATATACCAAGTGTTAATGTTCTATAGGCATTCCTAGGAAAAAAAGGATTAAAAGCTACACAGATGGCACAAGAGAAAGCTTCAATGGGAGACATTTCGAACTTCAACTAACAGACTTTATATATAACTTCTATGGGAGACATTTTGAACTTCAAACCTACACAGATGGCACAAGAGAAAGCTTTTGCATTTCAAATGTAAAAACTATCAAGAGCAAAGCAATGAAAGATTAATTGGACCTGAGCTTCACACTATACATAATCGTTATAGCAGGCATACCTGTGGAAGAAAGCTTTTTCGAAAGCCAAAGTCTGTATCCTTATCTAATCTTCCTCCAGGACCTACTGGAATGGCTTGTCTGTATCTACAATAACCTGCTGTACCATTCCCCTGATAAAATGAGCTAATTTATTAGAATATCACTTTGGTAATGAAAAAGTAAGATGCTGAACTGCAATGACAAATAGAGGGAAAAAACTTATTTGTAAGTGTAGCCGAGATTCATTTTTTAACTAAGCCTTGTTTGACAACCATTATTTGAAAACTCATTTTCTTACATACTCATTTCCAACCACACATTCAAACAATAAAATATGAATAATTCTTCTTGTACAATAGGGTTGCCATAATGGACACATGGCACCCCTAATATACTTGTAGCACTTTCCATAAAATATTTTGCACATAAATCCAAAGTTTTTCTCTACTTTTTAATCACACGTTCTCCTAAAACTCACTATTCAAACATTATTTTTCGAAAACAATGGTTGTCAAATAGGGGGTAAAGTCTTGACATTTGTACAATTTTCATAAATAAGTGGCGGTGATACTTGAACTTGGGAGGGTTACCTTCTCAGATCTTGTTGAACTACCTCATCATAAGTCTAAACTACTAGAGATGAAACAAACTAATTTAAATTATATCTTCAACCTTTTCTTTGTCAGGTTATAAGGTATTAATCAACTTTGTAATCTGTAATATTTTGTCAGTACAATATCTTGATGCAGCATTCCCCTGCCTCCTGCATTATAGACCTCGGACCACCACAAGCAAGCATAAGCAATAAAAAAAGAAAAAATCGTCTTCTTTCATTTGCTATTACCTTGTTTGGGTACACACACGTTTGCATTAGCTACATAACTTTGTATGCAACTAAAAACAATGAAAAGGATAAAAACCTGTTCAATTATAGGCAGATATCCACCAACATTCTGCAGTATGGTACCATCTTCAAGTATTCCACCCTCACCTCCCACTCCAACGACAACGTCGTCACGCCCCATCATGTAAAGAATATCGTAAACATGATTCACAGAATGTCCAGCATCAGTCCATGCATTTGCGTTAATAGTAATAGCCTGCAGCAAAGTGGTGATGATTTTCAAACTAAAGACTAAGCCTTAGTGTTCTTGTTTAACAGAAAGATGGATATTTCTTGCTCATTTATAAAGCAATCGTTTATTCATAAACATCGTGTGAGAAAAATCTTTTCACTCCACTTGGCCTTGGCCCCCCTCTAGGGGGATTTTATTTAGGCCGTGTTTGATAGGCCACATTTTCCGGGGAAGTAGGAAAATATTTTCCATTTTCCACTTTTTTGGCTGTTTGATAGGCGAAATTTTCCACGGAAAATATTTTCCGGATTTTCCCCACACGTACAATTTCTGAGTTTTTGATGAAAATGTTTTCCCGCTTTTTTGGTGGGAAAATATTTTCCCGACTAGCTGAAATTTTTTTTTTTTTTTTTTTTTTTTGGGGCAATGGAAATAAATGTCATAACTAATGTAAAAAAAAAATTTCACTTTAATGGACAATTTTCATGTAAAACAAAGTCAAACGAACACTAAATTTTGATTTAAAAAATGATTTTTTAGGAAACAATCTTTTTCCCCTTTTTTTTTTACTTTTTGGCAATGGAAACATATTTTATAACCAATTGTGGAAAAAAATATCACTTTAATGGACAATTTCCATGTAAAACAAAGTCAAAACGAATAGAAAATTTAAAAATTTTCCGGGTGAAAAATTATACCAATCAAACACACTTGAAATCATTTTCCCTGCAAAACATTTTCTAAACAAATCTTTTCCCTGTAAAACATTTTCTTTCCACCCATTTTCCACCCTTACAATTAAACGCACCCTTATAGGTTCTATGGGAACTAGAAAATCCTATTAGGTCAAATGCGAAGCTCCTAATAAATTTTAGATCGACTACATAAACCTTATATTCTTGCTCCTTGGTTTGGTTCATAACCAGATCTACTGGTCAAAGAGTGGTGATGAATTATGATCCATGTAGTTTCACTAGCAAGATTTTATACCTCAAATGCAAATTTTTCCCAAGTTAGTGAAAATTTCAATAGAAATAGAATATTCACTTTTAAGGAAAACTAAAAAGATAGATTCACACATTAATGTAAAAACTGTGATCATATTTTGTTTGATTATGTCATCTAAAAGCTTAAACTCACATATAGCTAACAAATTTATATATTTAAAAATTTTCCCTGACACTACGTCCACAAGTCGAATCCAATTTTTTTATCAAATACCTGACACGTGAACAATTTTCATAAGTGGGTGGGGAAGAGATTTGAAGACATATTAGTCAAATTAACAAGTACCATTCTGAGATGGTAGTTGAATAATGAACTAATAAGTCATAGAAAGCAAATTAAAGCTGAAGATATAACCAATTTGATAAAAAAAAACACAAAGTGAAACTGACTCAACCAACTTTCTTTCTTTTGCTTTATGAAACTTCATAATAACATGGATTTCTACATCCACTCACTTTACTTTTATGATAAATTATTGGAAATATGATTCAGGCAGTTAAGATGCTTGGAATAATAAAACGAGATGCTAAAAAAGGTTTCAGAATAGACCAATTGGAGAAAAAATGATTTATGAATGGACTCTCTTGCTAGGAACAAGTTTTCTGTGATGTAACTACATCCTTACTGGCCTCGAATGGAGAAATTGCTAATTAAACTAACAATTATAACAGCAATCGCATATTTCATATGGAGGATCCGTAACACTGGAAAGTATTAACGAAAAAACAAGCTAAAATCGTGTTAACAATTATACATGAGAACAAATTAAAACACGTATTTAGCAATGAGTATGTGTACCTGCAAATCCAGTTCTGATCTATTGAGCTTCAAGAGGTACAAAAGTGCAAAGAAATCATCGGTATCCATATCTGTATCCAAAAGAATCCTTTGAGGCTGCCCCTTCACACAGTGTATATCAGCTCCCATTGATCCTATCATGACTATTGTTATACATATGTATACATATCTCCGAATGGACATTTTTTCATACTCCAAGTAAGAAGAAACCTTCTTCTCTCTCTCTCTCCTCTCTCAACAAACTGTAAATTAATTATAAAGGGGTATGCGTTCTTGATCAGCTAAAACACTGTTGCATCAATCCCATTTTCAAAAAGTGAATGTTCCCACAATTTAATATATTGACTTATACAGTAACAATATATTTGTGCATGTATTCACCATATTCATGCCCTCAGCTTCAGAAAATAGCATAAATGAAATGGAGACTCAAAAGGGTTGATACAAAAGAAATTCAAGGTTTTAATATAGTGTCTGTGTCTCTGCCTCTGCCTTTGTCTGTCTGTGTGTGAATATATGTGTATATATAGAGTGAAACAACAAGTACTAAAAATGATCTTGTTAATAAGGTGGAAAGTGGAAAGAGCCGAGGGAACCGCCGGGTCGCAATATCGAGGACAGGAGGCACAAGGAAGATATGCTTCAGAGAGTGCACTGTATAGCCTTTTCTTGGAGAAAGAGAGTTGGATTTGACAAATGAATATAGAAAAGGAAGAAATGTTTATGATGATTGGATCGAGAAAATGGAAGAATTTACAAATGGATTTGGTAGTTAATGCTGTTATAAAACCATTGATTATTTGTATTAGAACTGTCGATTTTATATGCAATCTAGACAAATATATTAGTTAAATTATCATACCTTTCTTTATAAAATAAATAATTGTATCTAGAGTAGAGTGATTATAGATTGATGATAAGCACCAGTAGTCATAAATAACATTATTTGAAAATTTAATATGATGTGGAAAGAGTCGAGTCATTAGACAAAATACTTAATTTTTGAAACCGGCCATCTTTATTAACATACAAATAAAGAAAAAAAATATTTTGAGGAATAATTATTGTAAAAAAGGCGAATTTTCTTTTACTATTGTATCGCTCGACGACAAGTTAAAGGTCTTGATTTTATCTAATAATTAGATTTTCTTTCCCTTTTTGGTCATATTTGGAATAGTGAATTTTTGGACGAATTGAAAAAATCGGAACATGAATAATCAATAAAACCTGATTAATTAATATACAATTATTATAGAATAATGTTATTTGCAGCCTCTCTTTATCATAGTCGTCATATGTGACATATATATAATGGTTAGCGATTTGAGATATAAGGCCATAAAAAATTGCAATGTTAATATATCAAATCACTAACAGTCACATATATGCCACGCGGAGCGACTACAATAGTGAACGATCGCAAATAGCATTACTTATTATCATAGTAAAATAGTAGTATTGTTAGGTAACATGTCCAAAAATGGAGCCCACGACGGATTTTTTTTACTCAAAAACATCCGACAAAAAAATAAAAATAGTAGAATAAGAATGTTAAATAGTCAAAATCACTTGTAATTTATTTTTGAAATATTTGTGCTAACTGATTTGTGATCCAATGATGGAACATATGTTAGATTCTTGTCGTCCAATAAGACACCATGAAAGTAATTCTTGTTCTTGGCTGGAAAATATTATTTTTTCTTTTTCCTGTTCGATCTTAATAATCTTTTTAAGGAAATGATTTAGTACACAGCTTTAATAAAGTTTAACATACTAAGGTCATGCGATGATTTCTCAAAAATTTAAGACTGATTATGAATTTTCTCTTTTACCTTATAAGCAACAACAACAAAGTTCTATTGTCATTAAATTTTAAGTCATGTATGAGCGAAAAAAACTTCATTACGTATATATCTTGTTTCCACGTATAACGTATTAAAATTAAAAAATTATTCGACCAGTCTATAGTATGATGGAATAGAGTTGATGTAAATCTTATGCATTAATATATATTATTCTTCTCTTTCAAGTCATTCTACATCATGATCTAGAGGTGACAACAGGTTCGCATTATTCGTCGACTCTGCTCACATTTAAACAAGCCCAACATCAAGACAAGCTTGGTTTTCATCTTAACGAGCCAAACCACGCTTGGGCTTAACAGGCCAACCCTAAGGTCGGGCCTTGAATTTTTAAATTTTTATTTATTTTTTTAACAAAGTTCTATAAATTTTATTTAGACGAAATTACACCCACACATACTTTTAGATTTCCATTTTCAAAAACCCAAAAACAATTTCAACATTTCAAAAATCAGGTTTTATTTTATTAAATATTAATTATAAATTTTCACCCAAATTAATATAATTCCAAAGAAAACCTAATTCATTCACTCAACCCTCCCGCCGTCTTCCTCCTCTCACCCGCTGTCTTCTACCATTCTTCACCGGCCGCCGTCTGTATCCCAATTTATTCTCCCAATCAAACCTAAATTCATCCCCTCTCTCTCCCATCCGTCTCCGTCTCTCTCTCCCGTCCGTCTTCTCCTCTCCGTCCAGCGCACCGTAGCCCACAAGCTCGCGGATTTGGTGGATCTGTCCCGGATTTGGTGGATCTTACTGGTATAATCTGGTGCGGTGTGGGTCTTCGATGTGGGTGGAGGTGCGGTTGCGTGCGTGCGGCGATCTCTCTGTGTGTGGGGGCTGTGGTGCGCGAATCTGTCTGTATGTGTCATGGCAGGTGTCGGACGTTGGCGGTTTGGTGTGGCTGGTTAGTTTGTGTGTGCGTGGGTGGGTGCGATGGCGGGTTGCGATTGGGCGTGTTTGTGGGCGCGGTGGCGGTTGCGGTGCGATCTGTGTGTTTGGTGAAGATGTGGAGTGCGGTTGCAGTGCGTAACGGTGTGTCGGGACGTTACCGTTCGCTGCAGATCGTCGATGGGTTGTGGACCCCAACGGCGGTGGTGATAGTGTGTTTGGGTGTCAGTGCAATGATTGTGTGTTGTGGTTGTGTGGCGGTGTTCTGGGTTGTTTTGGCGGTGCGTGTGGCGGTGGTGGTTTAGGGGTGATGATAGCGTTGCTAAGAGGGTCTGAAGTTGGCTTTGAGATGTTGATGTTGGTATGGGGGCGACGACGGTGGTGGTGACAGTGACGAAGTGATGGTCACAAATGATTTGGTGGTGGTCACAAATGATTTGGTCGGTTTGTGACCAATGATTTGGTCGGTATGTGACAGATAAACAATTTGTGACCAATGAATTCGATAAATTGTGCCCCGTGCAAGTTGTGTGACTTACGAAATACTAATTTGTGCCCTAAAAATTATTAATTTGTGACCAATAAATTGATGTTTGTGACCATGAATTAAGTAACGTAACTTTTAAATTTTATGGTTGTGACCGATGAATAAATTGTGACTTTCAAATTTCTAAGTTGTGACCGATGAACAATTTGTGACTTAAGAAATTTTTGAGTTGTGACTTAAAAAATTTTGAATTGTGACCAAATTGTATAGGTTTGTGACCTTAACATATTCGTCGGAATCGGAAAAGTCGTCGGAAAAGTCGCCGGAAAAGTCGTCGGAGAAGAGTGGTGACCGGAACGGTTCG